CAGATTTTCATTTGATTCAGAACCACATAGCCAAGTGGCCTGGTTCACATTGGAAAAAAAAACTGATCTGTGTTGCTCAGACACCCATGAAAAGATCAGATACAGGTCACATGTGGGCCAAAAAGATCAGATACAGGTCACATGTGGGCCAAAAAAATGGGATTTGGGTCACTTCAGGCTGCAGTTTGAACTTAGCCAAAGAAAGGGGCTTTTGGCTGCAGGTTTTCTTTCCAACCAAGCAATAGCCCACCAGACTCCAGTCATCTCATCGAGTCATCATGTTCAGATTGGACTCACTTGATCTCTTATGGAGGTTGATACAAGTAGTAGAATCCTCTCAAATCAAGACAAGATTGATTTGAGAGGATTCTACTTAAATTAAGTGCAATAATCTGCCAATGCAGTGAGGCAATTGCACTTTACAAGACTTCATGGAGTCATGATAGTCTCATAACAAAAAGTATATAAATCTCAAAACAAGATGTAAGATTTGAGTCAGCCCATTCTGTCAATGGACATAATAATATGACTTATTTTGTAAGACACAGCAGAAAGTGATCTGAAATGTAAAACATCTTAAAATTAGGGGGTAAATAATATGATTGCCAAAGAAAATTGTATTTTTTCCTCAAAATAAGATAATGACATATAAACTACTTGAAATAAGAAAATATTTTTTTTTATTTCAATTGAAATCATCTTATTACATTAGTAAATTGTCTTACCTACCAGCTCAAATTGAGGCAGAATACACCCATTTTAAAGAAATTTGACTTATATGTCAATTTCTGTAGTGTATGTTTTAAGTACATGGGCCAGGATCAGTTCTCCAGGGGCGCTGGCCCCTATTGGCCCCTGCCTTAAACCTCCTATGGTTATATAAGATCAGACAATGAAATGGATTTTTACCTATATTTATTTTTTACATTTAGGATCCATTTGGCTGTATTTCAAATATCTATGTCTTTTAATGCAGGGGTCTTCAACCCTTTTAGATGGATGAAGAAATGTTTGCATTTCATCCTTAATAGCCTCCAAGGGCTGGGGAGGTTTGTTAATCACCCATTTATTCAGTATCCTTTTTAACCAAATACTTTTTTTTACTTTTTCTTTACTAGTAAAAATATGACAAAGTGCTGCTACTTTTACTTAAGCACAATGTTTTTACTCTACTGTCCTCTGTGTAGATCTTGGTGCTCAAGAAGCTAAAAAAACAAGCAACGTGGTTGAGATACCACAATGATAAAACAGAAGGGTGAATAACGAGAACATTTTTTTTATTTTCATATGTAATCAAACTCTCTGTTATTTCTTCTATCCCTTTGAATAATGTGCTTCACTGCTGTACCTTTTTGGGAAACACATTTTGTTCCTTTCAGATGTTAATCTTTCTCCCCTTTCTAACAGCCCATGATTTAAATGTACAGTAGTTCATAACCTTGTATCTAGCACTCATTCATCATAATGTTTCTACCTGGAGGGAAACTGTTTAGTATTCAATGTAGAAATTCACCTGAGAGAACCTGATATTTGCCTAGATGTATCCTTCCAGATTGTTTGTATTGTTGTATTGCCAATCCATTACGGTCAAACTCACCCTCAATGGTCTGTGATGCAATAGGTGAGGGTCATGCCTCCTCATTCCTCTTCAGTGAATCAGCCAATCACACAGGGGGATTTTCTTACTGTGACCACAGAGCTAAGCTGGCAGGGGTGATTTATGAAGCCCTTTAAAATTTATGGGAAGTTGTCAAGGTACAAAATGAAGGGGATGCTTCACGGAGATTTTTCCTTACAGAAATGTCATTATTACTTTGCAGCAAAAAGCGGGAGAAGTGTAGGAGAAAAGTGGCTCATGAATAATTAACTCTGAATAAAGAAATAAATGCCTTATTGGACAATTAGCCTCCTCTGGGTACTCCGTCTTCCTTTATGTGGAGCTCTTTTTTTAACAGGCAGATTCATTAGAGAATGAATACATAAAAGTTGCCACTATTGTTATTTTATTAGTATTGTTAATGATTTCTATTCACGAATACAGGTTTTTTAATTTATATTTATAAAAGTATTTAAAATGAATTAGAATATAGAGGTAACAAAATCTTTTATGCCACAGTATTTTAAGTATTAAAAAAAAAAAATTATTGTTTGCTGTCTTCATATGAGTCATCAGAAAGCTTCATAAGATTTAACAACCAAAAAAACAAAATTAAAACGTCTCAATTTTTCCAATCAGGTAGAGTTCAGAACATAGTTGTATATTTTTTAACATGAAATGAAACATATAATAAAAGGTGTTATCACAAAAATGTGATCTATACAATACAATACCTATTAATGATAAAACATACTGACCTTTAAAGAACATAATAATGCGCATGGGAGTTCTAGATATTCAACTGATTTAGTTCAGAAAAAAACAAGGAAATGTGAGTTTGATTAGGAAAAGCATGAAGGTATTTAAAAATTTCATCTGAAAAGAATAGAGGGTCATAAATCAATAACTTTCTATCATTAGTTTTCGGATTTCTGATTGGTTTGATCCATGGACTTTGCTGTTCTATGGATAAATGTAGAGGCTACAGACTAAATCTCATACAGCCTTAACATCTATTTAAACTCATATCTACATTATATGAGTTGCAACAATATTTAATTTCTCTTTGGGATAAATTTTGGGATGATTTTTTTTAATACTTTAGTGTGGATATGTTTCTGTGCGCTGGCATCAACTTTGGTCACAAAAAGGGTGAGAAAGTAAACTGCCTGTGATGGGCAATTTACTTTCACCTCTTGAGATACTGCTTTTTGTTGTTCATAGGCTGTTTCTCAATTCACAAAGCGAGTACGGACTCTTGTCCATTTTTGAGAAGAACACAGTAAAGTATGGACTTGATTAGAACGGGAGCATGCAGCATAAATATGGGTCAATTAGAGCAGAAGCGTACACTTGCTCAGCTCGTCTGGAGCTGCATTTCACATCCTGTTATTAATAGACTCTTGGTGATAATTAATACATTCGTACTTTTTTTTATTTAGTGGGGGAATAACAATAAACACAGTCAGATAAACACAAATCAAATGAACATTTTGTCAAACAAAACAAAAAAATCGCCATGAGAGCCAGCGGTCCTTCACACACGGCTATGCAGAGAGAGGGCTGCTGGGCTGGGATTAGACCTGGTTGCCTTTACCCTTGGAGGTCAGCTGATTGCTGTGGTGATCTCAACTTCGGATTTTTTTTTTTTTTTTAATTATGCTTAAGATCGGTAAATGGGCCATATAGTGACACTTAAAATTATAATGTTGTACTTTATTGAACAAAAGCAACAGAAAAAAGAGCTTTTAACTTAATACTCTGATCTCTGTGAGCACTCCATTGAAAGCTGCTGCTGCTGCAGTGCATGCTGGGACAGCTGTCAATCTCAATAACGGACAAGTTTGTTCTGATGCATGCTGGGTAAAGAGGGAGGGGCGAGAACAACATCCAGGGACTTTGTCTGTTCTCTGTCTGCTGAGGACGTTTCACAAGTACACGAGAACGCACAAGTACACATATTGAGAAACGGTCACGGTTACAGCTAGAAATGTTTGCAAAGCATTTTCAGACTGATTGCTATTCCCTTCAAGAGTTAGTCTAACACCATAACCAAGCCATCCTTGTCATCAACTGACAATTTTATAAACAAGATGGAAACACAAAACACAGTAGCTGCAAACTGATTGTAAATCTCTGTGACTATAAAAGGGAGTTCATTCAATCCTTACTTTACTCTATATAAAGGTGAAACTTTACTCAAAGTTTACTTTCTCAAAATGGTCCAGCGTCAAAGTGATAAAAGTTTACATTAGCACACAGAAAAGGGGTCTAAATGGGAGTAGGAGAGAATCTACAGGCGCATAAAAAGCAAGAGAGCGCAGAAAAAGAGCATTAACTTCTGTTTGTGACATAGTGTGGGCCAAAATGCACAAGAAGAGAAGATTACTTGCGTTTGTTTGAAATGAAATTGCTTGTATTAGTATTTTTTTGTGTTAGTGTGCACTTTTGGCAGAATGTTCACTTTAAATCCAACCCAGAATTAATTTAAAAGGTTTCAGTCAGTTTGTTTATTCCTAAATTCAGCTTATACAAAATTTATATCAGGAATTTCAATTGCAGATTTTTTCCCTTACAAAAAATGCCTAATAATAGATTTACCATAATCAGTTTGAAAACTCTAAATAATACCAGACAAAACACATGTTTAATTATTTAATTCATGTTTTCAAACTAAATACTACCACAGAAAATATGATGTATATGTGAGGAGAGAGAGAGAACATGAAAATAAAGGAGAAAAATACAGCATAGCAATAAAGAATAGGTCCTAGAAATCTGCTTACTCACTTGGAAGAAGCAAGAAGGAAGAAAAAACACATCACAGCAACCCTAACAAAGGAGGGTGTGTCCCATGAACACGCAGTAAATACATGTACATAAACATCAGAAGTAGGCCTACCACATATGAACATTACAAAATGTCTTTCAGAGCTACATGTAGGTATAGTTGCAAGCTCGGAATTAAGCATAGCTGTATATTTTTAAACTACTGGATCCAAATACCTGTGGTTTATACGCATGAGTTTGCTTGGGTGCATAAAGTAAATACGGCTACTTCAGCTGTTAGAAATGCTCAATAGCAGGTTTGAGGTGCCCCAGACCCGCCCAAGAGCCCAGGGCTACAACGGAGAAGAACCAAGCCGAGAAATTTCCAAACACTAATAAGAGTAAAGAGACACAGAGCAGCAGAAACAGGCATGGCAGCAACAAGCCTAGATTTGCAGAAAATAAGCCCTCTAGTGATTTAGAATGTTTCTTCACAATCATTTTGTATGATATGAATTGCTGTCTCCCTTGAAGGACAAGGGAATTATAATATAGAAAAATTGGACATATAAATGATAACATTTAAAGTTAACATACCTGCCAACTCAAGTGTTTATCTTCCTTCTTCCAACAGGAAAAGAAGCCCATCTGCATCCAGGGATCCAAACCAAAAATACGACCAAAGGGAGGGGGGCGACCACCCACAGTATGCACCCACAGACGGCAGTATGCCCAGATCACCGTCAGACTATGGCGATGGGGACCCACGGCGGGTTCCGCAGGGCCCACACATATTCCCAGATGTCAATGCGATGCGAATGGGCTACAGGGACCGTCGGGGTCCTGGCCGTTGGCATTCCCAGGAATATCCACTTGACCAAGAGCTAGATGGACCGCCGAGTGACTTTGACCTCCAGCGTCAGCGTCAGGAGGAGTTTCAAGCGCGGTATCGCAGTGATCCAAACCTGGCACGCTATCCTGTAAAGCCTCAACCTTACGAAGAGCAAATGAGAATGCACGCTGAAGTGGGGCGGCTGAGGCATGAACGTCGCCATAGTGATGTCTCCTTAGCCTACACAGAACAGGATGACCCTGGCCCTATTAGATTGTCTCGTCAGCATCTCACCGAGCGCAGGCCGCCTATGGTAGGACAGCGCTCGTACTCTGTTGATCGGTCTTCCCCAGGACCCATTGGTCCTGGCTTTGGAAGTCACAGAAACTCCAACCGCAGCCCCCCAACGCCACATCGGAGTCCTGTGCTTGGTGATCGATCAGGGGGGCTGCGAAGAGGAGACTTAGGGGATCCTATGATGAGGCAGCAACACCATTTGGACCCCAATTCAGCTGTCCGCAAGACCAAGAGGGAGAAGATGGAGAGTATGCTAAGGAACGACTCTCTTAGCTCAGACCAGTCAGAGTCAGTGAGGCCCCCGCCCCCGAAGCCCCATAAAACCAAAAGGGGGGGAAAGATGAGGCAGGTATCACTGAGCAGCTCAGAGGAGGAGCTGGCCACAACGCCGGAGTACACGAGCTGTGAGGATGTGGAGATTGAGAGTGAGTCAGTCAGTGAAAAAGGTAGGAGCCCGCTCAACATCTCTCCTCTCATCGTATTTATATGTTCATTCATGTTAGAATATGTTATTTGACGTTTTTAATTGTTTTTTTAAACACAGGCTGGAATGCTGTAATAGAATGCTGAAATAGTATTTTAAAACAGAAGTTGTTAAAATAGTTCATCATGTAATTATTGTTGCTGTCTTGTGTCACGATTATTGATGCTGTTTATGACTCCAGTTTCCCCTAGGCTACGATTTCAATGTATGTGTGTTTGGTGTGTCTGAATGTATGTGTGAATTTTTTTGTATGGCTCATTATTTTCAGTTTAGATATGTTAGAATGGTAAATTTTTATCATTCCACCCATTTGGAAGGATCACCAGCTCTTCTAGAGTCAGTAGCTACAAATTTATGTGAAGAAGCAATAAATAAAAAACTAAACCTTTGATTTTAGCACATTTAAAATCTCTGTGAGAACTGAAAGTAATGAGTCTTGTATTTCCGAGTTCCTCTACTGCTGTTTCTATATGTCAACAGAAAAGCTAACAGTTCCTGTGTCTTTAGGGAGGAGGATTCCACATTGTTGAGCTTACTTGATTGTTTGTGATATGTTCTGGTGTGAATGGACACTAATCTGTATCAATCATTATTTGCACGAGGGCTGCAACTATCAACTTTTTTATTATTGAGTGAAGCCATCAATTATCTTTTTGATTTATCTGGTAACATATAAAGACATTTTTATGCAGATTAAAATTCCTTCCAAGAATAATTTTACTAAATGCCTTATTTGAGTAGATGTTCAATTAAGAAGTAAACGATACTTACCGTAATAGGTTTTTTCTTCAAGATAAAACTACGCCACTTGAACAGTTCTGGATCATGCCGTTTTTGTTGGAAAAAGACGGATTTCATCTTAAATTTTTTTATATACATTGTGGCCATGATTACTCTTCTAAATTGCACTGCAAAAATAATCTAGAAATGAGCAAAAATGCCTTAAATTAAGTGTATTTACGATTAATTTGAGTAGGTAAATAAGATGATCTGCCACTGGAATGAGTATTTTTACTCTTAAAGTAAGATATCTAGATAAAAAGCACTTGGAATAAGAAAATGCAATCGTGTTTTGTTATTTTATTTGTGAATCGTCTTGTTTCATTGGCAAAAAGTTTCTTTAACCTTCTCAATTCAAGAACAAATGCATTGTTTTTAAGAAAAAAATACTTATCTAGATTTAGATTTTTTTTTTCTAGTGTGGTTATTCTTTTAGCAAATTAAAATGTTATACTCTTTATTTTCCAGTTAACGATTTGATTACCAAACTAGATAATTTCAATAATTGATTAATCACGATTCATCCGATTAATCCTTTCAGCATTGATCTGTACTTTTATTTTAATAATACTCATTAAGTAAAATTTTCATCAATCCAAATGACATATTTTCAAATAGATCTTATTGTTATAATTAAGGTGCTTTCTACCTCAGTAATGTTATGGGTAATGAGCACAAATGAATAAAAAAGGGGATAAAAACATATTTTCTGCTACATACTAGAACTGTGTGTGACAAAAGAAGGCAAAGGAATTAATTTAGCTGCTGCTTCTCTGTCGTAAGAGAAGCAGCTGAAAGCAAGCGATGCATTATTAATGTGGGAGTTTCTATGTTTACAGGTAGCCAAAATACAGTAGGGTCTTAGGAGGGTGAGAGCTTTTATTTTCTGTCTGTGTCTACAGCTTCCAGTGGCCGGCAAATATCAGAGAAAAAGGAAAGACAAAACTTAGCAGCTGAACTGAAATTCTGTAACCTTCCTAATCAGCTAGACAATAGGTCAACCTCAGAAAGCACATTCATCGGAGCTTATATAGTTAATCTTTTGTTTTCCTAGTATCCTTTAGAGTTACACGAAATCCAAAAAGGGACTGAGTTGTCACGCAAATGTCAGTTTGTAGGTTAAAGCTAAGCAGAACTTCTGAAAGAATACCTTTGTTATTGCTTGAGTTTGTAGAACAAGATAGAATTTAATTTTGAACCCTAAGCCAATTACTGTTTTTGTTGAGTAACAATGACAAGGTACCATAAAAGGTACCTGTCAGGTTCAAAAAGAAACCTTTACCATTTTATATATATGATATTTTTTATTTTACTGTTAAATGTTTAAGAGGGTAGTTTTGTGTTATATTAAAAGTTTAAATCCAGTGTTAACTTTGCTGCAGTAAAATGCATCAGTTATGTTTGCAGGTGAAGGTTCTCAGTCATCCAGGTCATGGTCGGTCCAAAAAAAAAAGAAAATGTTAAACAATCTACTGGACTTTGTTTCCAAGTTTGAAGATGTTTCGCTTCCCATCCAGGAAGCTTTTTCAATTCAAAATGTCAGGAATAGCATTGAGTCAGAGGTTTTATACAGTAGCCCAACAAAGCCTTGCTTTTTTTTTTTTAAACATGCAAATTGAAACAGACGAAGGGGTCCAACCATTTGGAATGGGGGCGGTTACTTCTTTTGTTATCCTGCATTGCCCCATGCCCATCCAAGTGTCTGTAAGGGGGGTTGATAGAGGGGATTGTTGACCTGGCTGAATAGACGAGGTCCTCCGCTCTCCTGTACAGGAGCTCAGACTGTGATTATAGGAATGATAGGATGAAGGATTTAACTCAATTGCTGTATTGTAGATTTTTAAAAGCGGAAATCTCTGTTTAAGGTTAGTTATTCTCTCTTAACATAGATGCCTTTCTTTCTCTCAAACCACCTGTCTTCTTCTTTGTCCAGAATGTGAACATTCTGGTCCTCAAAAGAATGTCCTTTGTCCAAAGGCTGGAGATGTACATCATCAGTTATGTTGGTAATATTTACTTTATGGATCCCTGCCCCCCCTTTTCTTAACAGATTTTTTTAGGTCCTCTAAGATTTGCAGACATTTTTCTCTGTAAATATTGTCTACATCGTACCAAATCAGATTCAGATCTGGTCTTTTTTTTCTCAGCTGTGGGTTTGCTGTAATGGATGAACTTTTTCCGTTTGTCAGATGGCTATTTGACTATTTAACCATGCTCCAGTGGACTTGTGCTTTACTTTGATGCAACTTTACAAAGCTAAGCTCATCAGACAGATTTTTTGTTGAGAAAAGCTCTTTTGGACAAAATATCGCATGCTTCTGGAGCCTTATTCTAGTTGTATTTTCTTGAAGACTAAGTCTAGTTTTTGGATGCATTTGATGAGTTATCCACTCCTGGGAGTATCGGCAGATATATGTTATGTTTTTTTTGTTTCCATTTTTAAATAATGCTCCTCTTCTCATTTTCAAAGAATGGATTTTAATTGTATACAATCTGTGCTCATTTATTTCCTCTTGGACTTGTGTCTTTGCTCTTCTGTATGGTCAAGAGCAGTTTCTGCTTTCCTGCTTTTAAAGAGGTTGTCGCAAAAGTTAATGATCAGTTATTCAAGTGAAACTGTCCTCTGTCCCACTTGGACTGATGCTGCCAGAGCTGTTAAAGACTCAGTTGCAGATGCAGATGAGATACTGGAGCAAAAATCTAAGTCGTTGCAAAATTAGAGAATACGGGTTAACATTTCAAAGGACTCCTTAGACTACCGTAAGTTTCCGAAATAGCTCCATATTGGTCTGTATGTTTCATTCATGTATTCTGAACATATTGCTGATATATTTGACTATTTGGATAGACTCTTAACTGTCCATTAAGTGGTTTAGAGGCTGACGTATTCAGATAATTGATTAATTTTCTGATATGGTGTCGCCCCAGGGCGTCCAAGTGATATTTCATTTCGGGGCCCGCTATTTCTGCCAATTACATGGATTTCTGGAATCGACAGTCAGATGATCCGAAAAATTCACGCATCTACAATCTTCTCACAAACTGATATACATATTTAATTCCGGTTATTCTAACTGACAGCTGATGAAAACCCCAAATTTAGTTTCTCAGAAAACTAGAATATTAAGAAAAAGTTCAATATTGAAGACATCTGGTGCCCCATTTTTATCCTTAATTCACTTCCAACACCTTTAACTGGTCCCTCAGTTTAAGATGTGTATGGAGCTGACTGCTGAGCTGACAGTTGTCCTAAAGATGGCAACTGACACCGTGCACAAAGAGGGCAAGACACAAACGGTCATCTCTAAACGGTCAGCTCTTTGTCCAAGCACAGTAATAGAGAGGGAAGGAAAGGATGTGGTAAAAGTCATGGGGAAAACCCAACAGTGGAGATGATTGGGAAACCGATCCTTTCAAAATGGTCAAAGGTTCACAGAGAGTGGAGTGCCACTGAAGTCAGTGCTTCAAGGGTAACCATGCACTGATGAATGATAATAGATATAAATAATTGAAGTTGATCTCACATTGGAGAAATTTACCTCTGAATTTTGCCCATCGCCTCAGGGAGCAGTGGGCTGCCATCGTGGGGCACCCGGGGAGGAATTGGGGTTAAGGGTCTTGCTCAGAAAAACAGAGTGGCAGTCTGTGGGAGACATAGACTGGACGGCTGCTGGGTGGTCCAACATTATTTTCTCTAATTAAAGTGAATTTTGCATTTCCTTTAGAATATAGGGTTCCAGAGTCTGGAGGAAGCGAGGAGACACAGTGTAATGTTTCCACAGTCAGTGATGGTTTGAGGCGGCATGTTATCTGCTAGTGTTGGTCCATTGTCAACCCAGCCGTCTACCAGGAAGTTATTGACCACTTCACCTCACTTAGAGGGGAGTGATGGCCTAGTGGTTAGGGCTTAGGGCTTGGAATCCTGAGGTTGTTCGTTTGAGCCCTACTCGTACAGACTGCCAGTCTGGGTGAATACATACTCCACACCACAGCCATGGTGAACAGGTGCTGCACTGAATGGCTCCTAAACAAATGGAGAAGTCTCTCTAAAGTCTGTAAAAGTAGGAGGGACATAGAGGGGAGACAGGAAGTGGAAACAGGTGTTGACATGGAAACAGGTGTTGAGATGGAAACAGGTGTTGTAATGGTGAGTGGTGGCCTAGTGGTTAGGGCATAGAGCTT